ACAGCGTCGTATGTCTCAAACTCTTTAGTTTGAGACAAAGCTGCATCCCTTTGGAAAATCGACTTGCCAAGGGAGGGTGCCCAAGCCCTTATAACCCACATGTCCATCTCTTTCCTTTCCAATGTGGGATCCTAACATTCTACCATGCTTTTGCAATACATTATCTTGAACAACCGTGTGAGGCTTGCACTCTTGGGAAACATAGTAGATTGCCTTTTCTAACAGGAAAAAATCAGTGTGAATTACAGCCATTGGAGCTCATTCATTTTGATGTGTGTGGCCGAATGACTGTTATGTTAAATGGTAACAATAGGTATTTTCTTACTTTTATTGATGATTTTACAAGGAAAATTTGGGTCTACTTTCTGCAACGGAAATTTGAAGTTTTTGGCTATTTTAAGAAATTCAAGGCACATGTTGAAAGGCAAAGTGGTTACTTCATCAAAGTTTTACAAATTGATGGTGGGGGTTAATTTATTTCCAATGAGTTTAATGAGTATTGTGAAGAATAGGGAATAGAGCATGTAGTTACATTTCTTACACTCCACAACACAATGAAGTTGCTGAACGAAAGAATAGGACTATCATGGATATGACGAGGAGCATGCTTAAAGCCAAACAAATGCCCAACTCACTTTGGGCAGAAGCAGTTTCATGTTCCACATACTTGCTCAACAGATCTCCAACAAGGAGTGTCCAAGATTTCACCCCTGTAGAAGCGTGGAATGGTTTCAAACCAAATGTAAAGCATCTTAAGATATTTGGCTCCATTGCCTATGTTCATGTTCCAGCAAAGACAAGGAAAAAACTAGATGATCAAGGAGAGAAGACTATTTTTGTTGGTTACACATATGGAGGATACAAGCTATTCAATCTTGTGACAAAAAAGGTGATTGTAAGTAGAGATGTCACTTTTGCCGAAAATGAAGCTTGGAAATGGGATGTTGTTGCACAAAATGACTTCTCGAGACATCTTATTCTTGAAGAAGGAGTCCTTGAAGTTGCTGCTCCTACCACAAATGAAGAAGCCTTACCAATTAATGCCCAAGAAAATCCTACAACGCCAAGTCTTATAGAAACTGGAAGACCAAGGAGACAACGCCAACAACCAATTACTTTAAGAGATTTTTAGATAGCATCTGATAATGCCATTAATGATGATGGGGATTTCGTGCATCTTGCTCTATTTGCAGATTGTGAACCTATGACATTTGAGGAAGCAATTCAAGACTTCAAACGGGTGAAGGCCATGAATGAAGAATTGAAGGCAATTGAAAGGAATAACACATGGCAGCTTACTAACATTCCACCTGGTCACAAAGCTATCGATGTGAAGTGGATTTTCAAGACAAAGATGAAAGCAAATGGTGAGGTGGACAAGTACAAAGCAAGACTAGTGGCAAAAGGGATTTGAGCAATAAGCTAGTCATGACTATCAAGAGGTATTCTCTCCAGTTGCTCAAATTGAAACTATTAGGCTCATAATTGCTTTGGCAGTGCATAAACATTGGAAGATCCATCAAATGGATGTAAAGTCAGCCTTTCTTAATGGTCCCCTGGAAGAAGAAGTGTTTGTTAAACAACCACCAAGTTTTATAAAGAACGGGAGAGAAGAAAAAGTGTTTAGATTAAACAAAGCTTTATACGGTCTAAAGCAAACACCAAGAGCATGGAACAAGTGTATTGATTCCTTCTTCCATAAGGTTGGATTCCAAAAATGTCATTCCGAGCATGCTTTATACGTGAAGATTACTGATTTTGTTGATGCTATACTACTTTGTCTTTATGTTGATGATTTAATCTTTACAGGTAATAATTTTAAAATGATTGAAGATTTTAAGAAGTCTATGATGCATGAGTTTGAAATGACAGATCTTGTCTTAATGTCATATTTTCTTGGTATAGAAGTTATTCAAAAGGAAGATGAGATTTTCATTTGCCAAAAGAGGTATGTTACCAAACTTTTAAAGGGGCTCCGTATGCATGACTGCAATCTTGTGAGAACTCTCGTGGAGGTTGGACCTAAACTATCCAAAGAAGATAATGAAGCTCAAGTTGATTCCACCTTGTTCAAGCAAATTGTTGGAAGTTTAAGATATTTGACATGTATAAGGCCTAACATATCTTATGGAGTTGGTTTAATTAGCAAATTTATGGAATTTCCTTGCCAATCTCATATGGAAGTTGCCAAGAGAATTATGTGGTACATAAAGGGCACTTTTGATCATGGTTTATTCTACTCTTCATCTAACAATTGCGTTCTTGTCGACTACTCAGATAGTGACTGGGGTGGAGACTTAAATGATCGTAAAAGCACTTTTGGTTATTGTTTCAAATAGGGGAGTACTGCTTATTCATGGTCCTCTAAGAAACAATCAATTGTTGCTCTTTCAATCTGTGAAGCAGAGTATGTTGCTGCCGCTTCAAGTGCATGTCAAGCAGCTTGGTTATGCAATTTGTTGAGTCAAATTCATTGTTCAATTGAAGGACCTATGAAGATCTTTGTTGATGATACCTCTGCAATCAGTTTGGCAAAAAATCCAATTACACATGGAAGAAGCAAGCACGTCAGCACCCGCTTTCATATCCTGAGACAACAAGTTGAAGAAAAGGTGATTGAGTTGGAGTACTACAAGTCTCAAAACCAGCTTGCTGACATCTTCACCAAGTCGTTGAAGCATGGAGCTTTTGCTAAGATGAAGCAGTTACTTGGAATGATTACTCCTTAGAATCTGGATTAAGGGAGGATGTTGGCATTAATCCCGATTCTACCAACATTCTTCCTTACTATTTTAAATGAATCAATCTAATTTATTGGAGTCATGTTTTAGTGGAGTTATAATTATTTTACTATTACTATTTTAGTGACATGTGAATGATGAAAGTGGAGTTATGTAAGTCCAAGTTTTAGGTGTTTTGGTTAATAGTGCCTTGAAAATAGAAGTCCAAGTATCTTCACACTATTATAAATAATGTCATTTTATGTGTGACTGTGTGTGGTCTTATAAATAATTATTCTCCACTAAAAGTTTAAGCATTTTTCCTCTTCTCTGTCTTTATCTTTCTTCAAACCTTCCCCATATTAGGATTAACTTTTTTTCTTGCTTAACAAACATAAGTCCAATAAAAAAGTGAAAACTTTTAATGAAAAACAATTCAAAAACAAAAACATATCCTATGCTTCATTTTAATTTAAACCTTATATTTATGTTGTACTTTTGTTTAGCCCTCAGTTTTATATTTGATTTTAAATGAATTTAGCACATGTCAATTTGTTAATGGTTTGTAACGTAGTGGTAACATGTCAGCATTATCACTAACTGGTGATAATATCCCATTGTATTCTAGATTTTTTTCCATTTCTATATAACATATCATAGCATTTATATATTTTTTAAACAAAATTATACTACAAATATAAAATTTAAGAAAACAAACTAATAAAATGAATTTATTTGTTTTGACTCCCAGGCTGTCAAAGTACTTAATTATGATGGCTAGTCTCACCGGAAGATCATGCTGCGTTAGACTAATTAACTCAAATTTATTGTCTTCCCATATCAGATTAAGTAATGGAAAATGAAAATTTGTACATTGTTCCTTCTAAGGCTAAATTTCATCATTTGGAGTCATTATCTGAGTAGAATGGGTCACTGTGCAAGTAAATTGTACTATTAATAAGGTTATGTTTGAAAAACCAAAGGCGACTTCCACCAGCTTGCCGAGGCCCTGCACGACGGACAACTAGCACAAGGGCTTATCCAGCTGCCACTTATCCATCACATTTTCATCCTATAAGAAGGTAGATCTTCACAAAGTTAGAGATTATTAGACACAATTAGCATTAATAAACGTATTTTTATTTTACTCTCTCTTTGTCGTTTTTTGCAAAAGTTAATGAAAAAAACACACGCACACGCGCCAATACTTGATCCTTGATATTTTACTGAGAAATGACAGAAAAAAAAAAAAAGAAGATAAATCAGTCCGGACTAATTGAACGTCGGAGGCTCAACGTGCTGAAACCCATTGCCTCTAACGCCTTGTTTTGTTTTGTATATTCAACACATCACTTTGTAAATTAAGGCCCTTGTTTGAAACAATCTAGAGTTATACGAAATCAAACAAGTAAAATCACACAGATATCAAAACAGTAAAGAGAAAGAAAAAATACGAGCAATTTACTCTGATTCACCTGATTAACATACTATGTCTAATATAATTAATATTATTAAAATACTGTCTCACATCTCTCGTTATAATAAATGTATTTGTCCTATGATTTGTTATCACTCATACAAGAGAATAATAAACTTATATATGCAGAAGACTCCCGAATGCATCTGCATGACCCCTTATTGTTGAAGGGTCGATAACTCTAATATTGCTGAACACTGACATACCTAACAATAATTTATTTATATAGTATATTCCCATGCTTGATTAGTTGATGTCTAACCGATTCCACCGAACAAGAGCAAATATTCTTTTACTGCACTACTACAATACAGAGTAAAAGATATTAAAAAATTTGAGGTAGTTAATTACTGCAAGCATCCTACTTTCCTTAATTAGCGGACTTAACAGTCTTAACTACAATTTAACTAACCAAAAAGCAGATGTTGAATAAAGAAAAACGTGCCTTTTCTTTTTTGAAAAGACAATCCTGCCTCTAATTTGGCTTGAACTTTTACTCCCGTGTCACAAATTATTAACAACGGCATTGTTACACCAAGCCCCAACAAAAACCAACAAAACAAACTTCGCTGACTTGATGAGCTCAGTTGGCCAACTGCTGGCCAGAAACCACTACCCACCGCACAAATTGCATGTAACCAAATGAGACCCCTGCTCCATTTAATCCCGGTGGTTTTGAAATTAATCACCTAATATGTGAAAACTTGGAGAAATGGGCAAGACCAAAAATCCCATGAACACCCCTTAATGACACTATATATAAATCCTTCCTACAATGTCACCATTCAACAATAACAAGCAGTTAAGAGAAACCAATTAGAAAATCATGGCAATGCAAAGACTGCTTTTTGCCTTCTTACTCATTTTCCCAAGTATGTTAGTAAATATTGCTTCTGGTACATCACTAGTCACCTTTGTGTTTGGGGACTCATTGACAGAAGTTGGTAACAATAATCATCTGCAATACTCTCTGGCGAGGTCGGATTATCCATGGTATGGCATTGATTTTTCCGGAAGACAGGCTACTGGAAGATTCTCCAACGGAAGGACTATCGGCGACATAATATGTATTCTGTTTTTTTTTTTTTTTAAAATAAAGTTAAAAGGGGAGTTCTATATCATCATTCTGCTCAATTTGAAATGTTTGTGTTTGCTGCAGCTGAAAAACTTGGTATAGCATCACCCCCACCATATCTTTCTTTGGCAAAAAATGATGCTGCGTTGCTCAAAGGGGTTAATTATGCATCCGGTGGAGCAGGAATTCTCAATGATACCGGATCATATTTCGTAATACATACCTGATACCTCTTTTTCTAAGGAATTATTCATTGATAGAGCACTATATATTAACATTAATTTCACCTAATTTATTACTTGGTTATTGCAGATTCAGAGGTTGACGTTTGATGATCAGATAAATTACTTCAAAAACACCAAGGAATCAATCAGAGCTAAAATAGGAGACGTGGCTGCAAACAAACTCTGCAATGAGGCGATGTTCTTCGTTGGAATGGGTACTCCGTACTCACATTATCTTCTAAAAGTGGAAAATAATTAAATGAGCATGAATTAACATAATAATATGGTGGTGTATTTGCAGGAAGTAATGACTATGTCAACAATTACTTGCAGCCCTTCTTGCCAGATGGCCAACAATACACACACGATGAATTTGTCGAGCTCTTAGCATCAAAGTTAGACCGCCAACTTTCGGTGAAAATTTTCGCTCCAACCCTCTTCTCCTTTAACCAAAATATATCTGATATTATATATAACTTCCATATGATTGGATTCGTTGTGTGATTATACAGAGGCTGTACGAACTGGGGGCACGAAAATTGATCATGCATGGATTAGGCCCTCTCGGCTGCATTCCATCTCAGAGAGTGAAATCAAAGACAGGCCAATGCTTGAAGCGAGTGAATGAATATGTGCAGGAATTCAACTCCAAAGCCATAAAAGTTATAGCCTCTCTAAATGGACGCCTCCCCGGTGCAAAATTCTCGTTTGCAGATACTTACCCCGATGTCTTAGATTTAATCGAGAGGCCCACTGTTTATGGTAATTTTTTCAGATTTCTTTAATCAACCATCTCGAAGAAGAAAAGCAAAATTTGGTCTAGTTTTTAATGGGCAATTTTGTTTGATATTTTTGTGTAGGTTTTAAGATTTCCAATACTTCATGCTGCAATGTGGACACAAGCGTGGGCGGTTTATGTCTGCCCAATTCAAAATTGTGCAAAAATCGGAGAGATTATGTGTTTTGGGATGCCTTTCATCCTTCTGATGCCGCGAATCAAGTGCTTGCTGACAAGCTCTTCTCCAGCTTATTTTCTAGCGCTCCCGCGCCTGCTCCGGAGCCCCATTGAAATCAAATCCCAATTTTCAAAAGATAAAACCATAAAAGAGGGTTATGCATATGGATAATGCTATTTGCACAAACTCTTATATAAAGAGAGTTTATACAAATTGATATGATATATCACAAAGCATGTTATATGACATTAGGATACACAAAAATTAATATTAAATTAATGTTATATGGAACCTCATGTCACTTGACACTCACATGATATACCACGTCACTTTGTACAAACTCTTTTTATACATAGAGTTTATATAAATAGCTTTATCCTATGCATATATCTATACTTTTTTGAGAAATGCTCTTTAAACGGCATGTACAATCAGTTATACATAGATTTTTCCATACTTAAAAAAAAATATATGGAATAATTGTTATTAGAGTTCTGTATCAAAGAAAGCGTTATTGTTGAGCAAGCCTAAAGTGTACCTTATAATAGAATTGAAATTCAAAGGAGTTGTTCTATTGTGTACACTCTTAAGCTGAAAAAACCCTACTTCGAATATTTCTTTAAGGGGTTTTTGTTCTTCTATTGAATATATAATTATACATGTTACTTTAAGTATGAAGAAACCACCACGTCATCTAGGCTATATGTCAAATGAATAATATTATTAGTTAGAGTTAACGACTTTTTCCCATCCAAAGTATGGCCTAATAACACTTTCCCACCTAAAAAGTTTTAAAATACAACTTTACTATCCAAATCATATTTAGGGACTGATGAACTTATTAGTTAAGTCATCCGTTGTGGGAGTGACATGTGGGTGATCCTGGTCACTTGATCTTAGAACAATTTATAGATAGTTGGCACAAATCTGACAATAGGAAATTCATGTACAACGTTAACCAATAAAAATGATCAATAGATAACTTTAAGGTGATAAGCATGTCTAAAACCTTAAATATAAAAATTAGAAGGAATTAACAAGGGTAAGTACATGGACAGTCCAAGTCAGAAATGCATTGCTCTTTAGCAGATAATCCGAATTTCTCCATACATTCACCTTTACAATAATCAGCCATACAATCGTTTCCTTTGATAATTGATATTGTATTATGATATAAGATTTCGGCGAGGTGTGGCTACTAGTATTTATAATATTATAATCATCAAATTTAAGGTAAAGCAATCCGTTTAGATTTTTAAAGATATGAAATATGACGGTATATATCATATGGTATAAAGTCTATTATACTTAACAATTTGTTATATTTCAATGTTTATAATTTCTTCAATTTGAAGATATTATAAACATTGAATTATTGCAAAAATATATATAGATTTATATGGAAGATTAGTATAAAATCATTTATTGGTATACACACATTGATAATATTCCATTTAGTTACTTCCTTATATATATATATATAGCTGAATACTCATGTGGGCTGATCGCCGTATGACACATTTTAGAAGCTTTAGAATTGCTCCATTTTGATACATTGGATTAACAAGCTAATCAAATTGTTCTATTTTGACACGTTGGATTGATATTTATTGCTCAATCTATAATTATTAATTAAAAAAATGGGATTTGTAATAATACAGGTGCATTATATTGACATTCTAAAGATGTGCATTAATAATAAGTATACAGATGTATTGGATTGCTATTACTAATTGTGGTTTAATGACATTTGTCTAGGATTGCTATCTATAATTATATTGTATTGAAATTGGAAAACTTTTTTTATTGAATTCGTATTTAATTGCGTTGGTATTCGGAAGGTCTATATAAGGGGTTATAAAAGGGGCGTATGTTCAGTTCTATATCATCACAATTTGTTAGTTGGTGTCAACAATACGTCTAGTCTTTTGTTAATTGTTTATAGGTCATTTTAGTTTGTGAAAATAATATATTTGTTCTTCATGTGTTTTTTTATCGATGATTTTTTATTTATTTATGTTTTTGTTGTTGTTTACAAGTCAAAGATTCATGAATTGACATAGAATAAAGGCAAGATGTCTAATTGACACTGTCAGACGAGTTGTTATTTTGATTTGTTCTTTTGAACTGTAAGTATCTTTTCTAACTATTTTAATGCGAAACTGTAAGTATGTCTCCCAACTATTTTAACGGTTATTGTTAGATTGAATGATTGTTTTTGTTCAGTCAATTTATTTGAATGATTAATTGTGTTATTCCTTCCGAAAGGTAAGTGTGTTCCTTGATAATTTTAATATGAAGATTAATTAACTTTTGAAGCTTCCGTTTTTAGGTACCAGTTTTTATACGAATGGATAATTGTTCCTTAACAATGTTAACATGAAGATCGATTACATTTTGTTATGTTTGTTTTCAAGGAAATGAGGATTTGTGTTTATTATTTCTTTGGTAGAGTCATTGATTCGGTGCGTCACTTCTGCAGATCGATTGGCATAAAATGTGCATTCGTTGATTTTGTTGATTTCGTTTTCAGGTTACAGGGAAAAAAGTTGACGTGTTCATACAATGGCTAGCGTGTTCCGCACCAAGTTGTGTTTATTAAGTCTTCGGTAAGGTCATTGATTTTGTATGTCTATGGTTGCAACCGATCATTGTGAATTATATGTTCATTGATGTTTGCTGATTTTATTTTCAGCTTACAGTTTTAGTCGAATAGTGAGTATTTGTTGTCAGTATGTTCATATGAGGGGCAATTAGTTTTCCTTGTATTGCTGACGCTGAGTAACATTAAACGTTCATGGTTTGTATTTTGTCTAAAGATTAAGCATTGTTTTTTTGGCCATGCTATCTATTTGTTCCAGTTGATATGTAAGTATTTGTTTTGGGACTGGGCTACGTGAAACATTTATGGATTGTTTTATGTTAACAAGGCTCGTGTGAGTATTGTTTTTGCTAACTCTATTTTTATGCGACACGATCGGCCCTCAACTATCATCGAATTGTGCTGTTCGGTGCATTGTTGTCATAGGGTAGCAAAATCCAATAGTAGTTGAGGTTCGATTTTGTGATTTGTGAATGGAATGCTATTGTATCAGATTTGGTCATTGTGGATGTCAACGATTTGTGTTGTGAGAGTGTCATGGTTAGTATCCCGACATGATGGTGATGGTGATTAAGAGATTTGGTTATTCCAGGTTCGATGTTATTGCTGGATTATGATAGTTGTTATAGTGCAAGCTATTTTGCCTGCATGAACATCTGCGGTTTGACATTTGATGATGTAAAGATTTGTTGGTTGTAGTCAATATGTGGTGATTTTGATATATTCAACTGTATGTGTCCCAATCATTTATGTATTTATTAATACTTAGGCAATATATCAAAGGTGAGTTTTCTAGATCATGATATCTTATGCCGATGAATTATAACAAACAAATTGCCAAGAAAAACATGCCGCCAAATTATGGATGACAATTTTTTACTTCTTTTGTCAGTATGTGTGCATTGCATTGGCATCCCGAAGGTCTAACCATTTTGACATCCTTATGATGTTTTCTATGTTGTAGGTTCAACAAAATATTTACTATCCTTTCCTTTGGACTTGCGCCAATGAAATATTCCTAAATCTCGCTACCTAATGCTTCATTTGACTATAAAAAATAACTTAGAGTGACCAATATATGAACAGATGGAATTGTATCAAGGTATCCATATTCCGATCAAATTCATGGTTTAGCAGTGTTCCTAGAAAAGTTATAACAAATTATAAATGTAACCAATCATATCCTGATAATGGTTCGGCAATGGAATGTAGACCTTAATGATACCTTATGGATAAATTGTGGATTGGTATCTGCTCTATTACCATTTTATAGCCAAATTGATGGTTTGACAGTGAAGTTATCAAGCACAAGAGACTTTGAACAATCATAATTATGGACAATGGTTAGGCAACAAATTCCATACTATTTGTTAGACAATTTTTTAAAGATGTCGAACTACAATATCAATAAATAATTAAGTAGCTTAACGTCTCTCTAAGTTGGTATCAGGCAAGCTGCCTAATACTTGGTCTAACTATAAAAAATAACCTTGGACTGACTAATATAGGAACATATGGAATTGTTAATCTTCCTGATATATCAAGCTATCCAAATTTCAACCATCTTTAAATCATGGATAAGTATTCAATTTCATGGTTTAGCAGTGTTCCTAGAAAAGTTATAACAAATTATAAATGCAATTAATTACATCCTGGTTATGGTTCGTCAATGGAATGTAGACCTTGATGATACCTTGATCTGTCGAAATTCCAAGCATTCTTAAATCATAATATCACAATCGGTATTTGCCCTATTACCATTCTATAGCCAAATTAATGGTTTGACAGTGAAATTATCGACCACAAGAGGCTTTGAACAATCATAATTATGGACAATGGTTAGATGACGGATTCCATACAATTTGTTAGACAATTTTTTAAAGATGCCGAACTATAATATTAATAAAAAATGAAGTGGCTTAATTTCTCTTTGGGTTTATATCAGCAAAGCTGCCGAACTATAATATTAATAAAAAAATTGAAGCGGCTCAATGTCTCTCTCAGTTAAAAATTTCAGTATTAGTCTATAAACGATAAAGTTTATGATTTGCATTGTAATAAATCATTTGTTGTGCTGTAATTTTTTCAATATATCAAAGGTGTGGTTTCTGAATCATGGTATTTTATGCGGATAAATTGTAATAAACAAACTGCCAAAGTAATCATGCAGCCCGATGGGTTAATACACTTACTTTTTCATTGATATGTTAGGTATTTTGATCATGTTTGGTATTCTCATAGTTAATGTTGTTCTTAATGATGTTAGTCTCTTGATATCGTGTTTTGTAGCTTTACAATTGCTCCTTTTTGATGCATTGGATTTGTGCTATTAATAATTTTATAGGTGCATTGTGTTGACGCTGCAAATATTTATAGATATATATTTATCCAAAATTGATTGGTGCATTGTAATGTGATACTTTCAATGTGATATTACTATTAATGGTTAGGATATCAGAATTTTGGTTTAATTATGGGTTAATGTACTTCCTTTTTGATTGATGTGTTCGGTATTATGATGATGTTTAGTATTCTGATATTTAATGTCGTTCTTAATGTAGTGTTTTTGTTAAAGTGTTGATAAAATAAATGGTACTGTTTATGTCACATAATAGTATAAGTTTGTATCAAATACAACTTAAATAAGAATTATAGCTGTCCACATAAAAAAACTAAAAAAATAAAAACATCCCAGTTGTTATTTAATTTTGTTATTATTGCTATGTTGTTTATTAAGTGTTATTGAAGTTGATGCAATTTTGTGGATAGATATTTATCTAAAAGAGATCGATATATTGTATTTGCTATGTATTATTGTTAACACGAGATTAATGTGAAGTGTGAGGAGTATTTATCTGAATGTGAAAAGTTTTATACATAACTCTTGAAATTAATGTGTTTGTTATATATATGTAGTTGTTTATGTTGTCATCATTGTTCCAAAAAAAAAAAAAAAAAAAACAAATTGCTGGCATAGTTGAGATATAGTTCCTTGTTA